TTCAATGAGTTTTTCTTGTTTGACGAAAGAAAGGTTAAAGCCAAGTCTACTTCTCTCTAATTTGGCCTCTGAACCTTGTAGGTACGTCATGAATAATAAGGGTGACATAGGACACCCCTGCCGAAGCCACCGTTTTACCTCTGCAGGCTTGGATACCTGTTTTTCCCACTTTATAACTACCTTGTTACCTTTATAGATTTCCTTTAAAAGATTAGTGACTCCATTTTTCACGTCTAGTGTGTCCAGTATTCCCAACAATTCCTCTTGAACCACGCTATCGTATGCTCCCTTGATATCTAAAAATGCTAGCGACAGGGACCTGTGTTCCTTTTCCGCTATTTCGATGCACTGCGTCAGTGAGAACAGATTGTTTTCCAACCTCCTGTGTTTCCGAAACCCATTCTGCAGTTCCCCAGCACCCCCTCATCCTCTATCCATGTCTGCAGTCTTGCCTAATAATCTGCATTGCCAGCCTGTAGACCATTGATGTTACTGTTATAGGACGGTAGTTGTTTATGTCAGCTTTGTCTCCCTTTACTTTGTAGATCATGCTCATCCTGCTATGTTTCCATCCATCGGGGACTTCACCATCGATTATTATTTTGCTCACTGCCTCTCTCAAAGCCTGCTTAAACTTCGGGCCCTAATGTCTTTATCAACATAATTGGAATGCCATCTGGGCTTGTTGATGTACTACTAGGAACCCTCTTCTCAGCCCTTTCCCCCTCTCGTTGTGAAAATGGAGCCATTGCGCCACTTGATTCATCCTTGTCTATTGTGTTGCATAAGGCACACTTTTGTTGAAACTTTTCTGTCACCCTTGCTCCTATATATTAAATAGCTTCGTCCACTTCTAGCCTGGCACCTTGAGCAGTAGTTATAAACCTCTGCTCTAAGCTCGTCTCACTTCTTAAGGAGTTTAGATGGTTCTATTATTTCGCAGTTGCATTTCTATTTTTTATGTACTTCTGCCAGCTCCCTTTCTTCTAATCTTTTCATTGATCCGCAGGAATGCATCCCTTCTACAGCTTAGAAAGATTTTCCATTTTCTTGCAACATCATCCGTCGGTTCACCCCGCTGCTTAGCATGTCTGTGTTCCCTAGAGCCTTCCTGACGTTTTGCTATGGCTCTCCTAACTTCCTCATCGCACCAACTTTTGGGTTTGTGTCTTCTTTTCCGGGGTGACTTGTTACTTGCCTTATCAATCTCTAGCTCAAACAATATAATTAGATTCGTGTATGTCCACACTGTTTTATTATCCTCAGTGATTACTTTCTCAATTTGTTTAGTATCTGTTTCTACTTGCCTTTCTGAATAAAAATTTTCCTGTAGTTGCTCATCTTGTCTCCTTCCCACTTTCACGGCTCTTCCAAAACAGCTTGATGCGTTTGTGATCACTACTTAGACTTCTGTCTGGAGCCACCTTCATCTATGTGCATTTCCCTGAGCTCATCATACATCCTATGTGACATCAGTGCGCAATCTATCGTCGACTGCAGCCTTCCTACCTTCCATGTTATTTGACCTTCACACTTCTCGGTAATGTTGCAAATGATCAAATCATGCCTTTGACACATATCCATGATCATGTGTCCTGTCGGGTCGGTATACCCATCTATATCTTCTATGTGCGCATTCATATCTCCTAGTATGATTATCTCGCACTCTCCTCCTAACTCCTCAATATTCTTTGATATACACTCTACCAATGCCTGGTTTTCCTCTCTGGCCTTTGCTCCCGTCCTCAAGTACACGAAACCAAGTAGCGCCATGTGCCCTGCCACTTTCCCTTTTAGCCATAAATGTTCCTTGCACTCCTGCTTGAGCCTTTGCCAATCTGTACTTTTATGAATGAATGCTCCATTACCACTCCCCTTTCTGCTGCCTTCTGTTCTATTACAATATTCTCACGAATAGTCCGAGTTGTTAGGAGGTTGTTCTATGTCCCTAAGATGTGTTTCTACAAAACCGTATACCATCGGCCTCTCCTCCCTTAGCTGTTCTTCTATCTGTTCCCACTTCAGCCTGTTCGTGCCACCCTGAATGTTAATATAGCCTATGTCTGAATTGGCTCGGCCCTCGAGGCTACTTCTATTTCTGCCCCGGATTCTACCTATCTTAGATACTGGTGCCACTTTGTATTAGTATCTGTTCATACCACCTGTAAAGAGTCTCTTTGGTTGTTTTCCTCATTACTAGCTATCCTGCACCCCTAAGGGCCTGCGTGCCCCTCCAAAAAGCTACTGCGCGTCGTGCAAGTCGCTAACCCACCTCATGACTTAGCCGCCCATCGACGTGAATTCTGTCTCGTTGAAAACCACCCCACCTATGCACCTCTCTGTTTATTTCCACTACCTCAAATCCTTTCTTTCGACTCATCCGCCGTATTTCTTGGTTTGCGTTGACAACTGCTCTTTGCAGGTTGCTGTCACGCACCGGTACCTCCGGTATCGTGCATATCACTACCTGTACCTGAGGAGAAGTGGCGCGCAAGTTATCGACCCGTTTCACCAGTGTGGTTGCTAGTCCTGCTGTATCTCCATTTAGGATATCGTTTAAAGCACCTGAAATTATCACGAGGTTTCGTCTATCAGCTGTAGTTTTGAGTTTTGCGCTCGCTTGCCTCATGACTGCTTCCAGCTTGCGTCCTGGGAACGCCTCTACTACAACCCTCTTGTCACCTCTTACCCTCTTTTTTATTGCTTCTGTGTATCAATATAAATTCGAGTCCCCGGCGATTCTCACATGCTGTGACTTTTCAGCTGGAGCGTTCTGCACCTGGGGGTTACTTGCACTTGTGACGCTGGCTGCTTTGTCCCCTCCCAGCCCCACCACTACTTCGCTGAAGCAGGGCCTTGCGACAATTGAACCGGCTGAACCTGTTTTTTTCCAAACTTGCTTGCTCTTTCTTTTCCGCCGTTCTGGTTGCCGGTTCCCTACTGTTCTTTCCGTAGGCCACTACTTTGTTCACCTTTGCTAGTGCTTCCTCGGCGGACTTCAGCCTTTCTCACATTGCCCTCGTTTTCTCTTGCTCTGTCTCCAACGCAGTTTTCAGCTCGGTGATTCTCATCAGCAGTTCACTCTGAGCAAGCATCATTTTCTCCATTTCTTTTTTGACCTCACATTGCCCACTATTCGCGCCAGCCTCTTCTCCATCCGCTTCTACACTTGGGTCTATTTTCAAACCCACCCCGCATCCTGAACACTTTAGAATCTTTTTAACCATGTCTTTCGGACACCAATTGTCCCTAGGACTTGTCTTACTCGTTAATTACAAAACTCGAACCCTGCCCTACTACAAAGGGAAAGTCTAAGCTATACTACAAAAATTTGCGCGTTCAATGTACGTGCACCTCCCCCACGGGATGGCAAGGAAAAAACCAACAAAAAACCTAATACACACACGCGCACAAACTATAAATACCTGGTGACTGACCCCCAAAAACGCCGTACAATGTAATAATGCTACAAAGATTTCAACTGCTGCCTTATTGATTGTAAAGACAAGCTTAAAACATGCAAAACCACTTATCTGCGCAGTTGATCGGGAGCGTTGAAAAAACACGTCCATCCACCGCGACAGTTCGAACCGCGAAACGATTGGACTGAGTTAAGTGCCGCCAAGCGTTGAAAATTATATGCTCGCTGCCGTTGACGATAGATGGAGCACGTGTTGGATTCACAAGTAGATTTCTGCTTACAGTCTGCCTCATTCTTCATGTAAATAAACCTACGTTTCTGTCTCTATGAACGCCATTCCTCACTGTTGAACATCAGCTATGTGGACGACGGCGGGGAGCAAGCTACGCTAAAGAGAATTGCCGAACATCCACGCCTTATAACTGGTGGTAGTGGTGGGATTCCATCAACTCCAAGCGCTGACAGCGCCTCCTATTATCTACATGACCCTCAAATGCACCAAGGTGCATTGTCTCGGTTTATTACAATAATTCTATTTCAAATCATAATTTTGAAAATGCCAGTCCTTTGTCTTCCCTTCGTTTGTCACAATTACTGTAAAACTGAAAGTTATGAAAGTGCGAATAGCTTTCACGGTGCTTTTTACTGAAGGTCATCATCAGTATCAACAATTTGAGTATCATCATCAACAGGAAGATAATTTTTCTAATAGTTCTTACGGTGCTTCTTACCGAAAGTTATCATCAGTGTCATCATTTCGAGTATCATCATCAACACGAAGACAATTTGCGAATAGCTTTCACGGTGCTCTTTACTGAAAGTCATCATGAGTATCATCATTTCAAAGATCATCATCGACATGAAGAGAATTTTACAAACAGTTTTCAGAGTGCTTTTTACCAAAATTCATCATCAGTATCATCATTTCGAGTATCATCTTCAACGCGAAGACAACTTTGGGAATAACTTTCACGGTGCTTTCTATTGAAAGTCATCATTGGTGTCACCATTTAGAGTACAATTCACGAAAATAATTTTGTTTCTTTCATTTGTTAGCTTCCTCGAATGGTCCCGTGACCTGCGTTATTACTACTTCATCTTCTTCTATTACTACTACTACTATTACTACTGCTGCTACTACTACTACTACTGATACCACTACTTGTCGGCCGTGGTGGTGAAGTGGTTGCTGTGCTTGGCTACTGACCCTAAGATGGCAGGTCTGATCGCGGCCGCGGCAGTCGCATTTCGGTGGAGGCGAAATGCTACAGGTCTGTTGTGTGCGATGTCACTGCACGTTCAAAGAACCCCAGATGGTCAACAATTTCTTGAGCCCTTTACTATGGCATCTTGGATTGAATGGTGGTTTCGGAACGTAAAACTTGACAACTTACAACAACAACAACTACAACTACTACTACTACTACTACTACTACTACTACTACTACTACTACTACTACTACTACTACTACTATTATGACGACGACGACCACGACGGTACATGGTAAACTAGGAATTATTCGCGGTAATATAAATACCATAATAATACGCCCATTTGAAAGGGATGTTGCTCACTCACCGAGCAGTGGTGACTTGTGCCAGTATCCGTCTCGCACCTCGACGAAGTCGGTCTCGCAGTTGTCCGACTCGTAGATGTCCAGCTGGGTGACATTGAGCACAATGCGCTCGCCGTGCGTCGCCGTGATGCGCCACTCGCAGTGATCGCCTCCGGACGGCGGTGTCACGCTGTTCACCAGCTCCGGGGACGCGATCAGGCCGCTCGGCTCCTGCATGGTGCGGCCGCACACTGCGTACGGCCAAGTATTCGTTAAGAAGCGCTCATTGGGCAATGACGTCTGCACAGGTGGCTTTTAGTGCAATGCTAAGCGCGTAGCGAAGTAAATTCACGAGAGTTAGTGCAGTTACCGAGGACATAGTTGATGGAGATATATGCTCGCGGCTCCAGTTTTTCACAGCATTTCTGCTCATGAGAGAGTATCGCGAAATACCGCATTTTTCACGTTTTTTTTAACTGAACCTTGCTTGAGAAATATAGTGGGCGATAGATGATTATTAATACCAAGCAATACAAATATTGTGGTAGCAAATAAAGTGGAGAGTTGTGACAAGATTGCCCCAAAAGAGGCAGAAATAACGTTTTTACTAAGATGAAGCCTTCATTTAGGCAATGTAGTGGTCCATACAATACTATGGCAACCACAATATGCAATCTGTGGTTAGTTTATAGAAAAGTTTTTATAGTTAAATTCATTTTAAGCGAAGAGAAAAATGTTTTCAACTGAATATTGAGAATATCTTTCCTGAAGTTTCTTTTCACTGCATGAAAAGTTGGCACAAGATAACAGCGGCCGCCTCTCCTGAGTGAATAATACAAAGTGCACAACTTCAACACAAAGTCTCGCTAGTTTTCGGACCTCAAAACGGTCGTTGGCCAATCTCAGATAGCGCAAGACAGCAAGGATATTACAAGACAGCCCACGGAAATCCCATACGTCTTTCAAGTCGTGTGTTCGACTTGCAGGAAAGGCTGTGGAAGGTGGTCGCAAAGTATGGTATCATTTGTCGTCTTGGGCGCTTGCAAACCTATAGCATGCGTAATGCTGATCTGTCCCATGATTCCAAAGTGACTTGTTTTTGGCCCAGTCGGTGCTTACTTGGTGCAGATGACTGAGGCGCAGTAAATACTTCCTGACACGGGGAAAGTAGGAAAGAATTGTCTTGGCGCTGTTTTTTTCTTCTCTTCTGCTCTCCATCTTTCACGACATGTTTATTGCGCCTCCGTCATCTGCACCGCCCCATGATGTATCACTATCACGTAGGCCCTGTTATTCAGTTTTCTTGTTAGGTTGAGTGCTCAGAATAGCCACCTATAGGGTTTTATTCAAAGAAAGGGATGTTGTGTGACAACCGTCATGTTACCCTGCCAGAAAAGAAACGAAAAATTTTACTGGCGCCACGTGAGGGGCAGTAAAGCTGTCCTTCGGTGCAATATAGTCGTTAATCTCTCTGCCATCCTTCTCAATGCCATCTGAAGTAGGAGAATGTCAGTCTCAGATGTAAAACAACGCAAATCACCAACATAACGTAAGATTCTTAATCTAGATGACAGTACTCTTGCTAAATCAATGGTGCGGCAGTGAAAAACGAAGCATCGAAGTACTAATATTAGCTATAAAGAAAGCTATCGCAAAACGGTCGCGAAAGTTTCGAGTCATAGAACATAATAAAAACTTAAGCCTCACTGACAGATTTATACTTCGCTGCCGTCCTCTGTATCCCTTACTTTTCTTTCGCACTCATTGTGAGAATGATACAGACCAGTGGTAATGCAAAGCAACCTTTCCTGTAGGCTGTAAAGCAACCTGTAAACCACGCCATGTAAGGCAACCTTTCCAGCTCAATTTCTTTCTCTTTATGACTACGAAATATTGACTATCCCAGTTTGCTCTCTACTGTTCATCACGCTCTATCCTCTACCTCAGTGGTTGTCTCCTAACGCCTAACGTTTCTCGCTTCATCGTGGTTCTAATCTATAGTGAAGTTTCTTCACTGGCCTCCAATTTACTGCCTCCTACGTTGCGCAACCGGCTGCGTGCAGTCATATTTTCACTCAAATGGAAACAAACTGTAGTCAATCATTCACCATACATATAAAGCTCCACCGGCAACACCGTGCCATACAATACAGCGTAGATCGAGCGAAGGCACGAAATGTACGAGGCGACGTTTCCAGTCTCCGAATATTGAAAACTTGTACAGAGAAGAAAAACTGAAGCGCAAAAAGAAAATGTAACTATGGCACACGGACTTGGTCGGGATCACGTAAAAAAAAGCAAGCTAACGCAATAACTCCGTAGGGCGCACACAGCGGTAGTGTGTATATATTGCCGAAAACACTCGTACAGCTCCATGCACTGGCGGCGATGCTGATGCCGCGCGATGGAAACATTTTGCTGTTGCCGCTCCGATACCCGCGATGCGCACCAATGATCAACTGCGCGCGGAATTCGGAGTCTCGCTCGAAGGTGCAAGCTGATGCATACCGTGCGTCCTGGTGCACACGCCGCGAGGCGAGTGGGTTCACCGAAGACTGCAAATTCACCACACCCGTAGGTTGTGCTCCCCGTCTCTCTTTCCTCGCGATACGTTACCGATCCAGGCTTGCTGTCGAGCTATGTGGGTCCCGGGAGAACGTATATGAGAAAAGAATCAGATTGTCGTTTAGCGGCAGCTCGATGAAACCAACAATAAAATTCTCCGCCTTCGCGAATGTCGAAAAATCCCGTGGGAAAAAAATATCAGTGGCGACGGTGTGAAGGTGGGCGACAATTTAGGATACGCGAAAAGATGAACGGAACTGCCACAGACGTCGTCGTTCAGCTGTTCACGAGCCAGTGACAACACTGAGCGATTTCTGTCGTTCCCCGGCTATTACGGCTTGGCAAAAAGCGTTCGATATACGCCGGCTGCTGCTGCTTCACTGCATATATGGTGGTTACGCCATTCTAGTCTCTGGCATTTAGATAAAGCGAGTGAGAAAGAGCAAAGGGGTGAACACCTCACGCTAGATCAGATTAGAGTGAGCACTGGCGTGCCTATTTTATTGTAACAGCGGTGCGCATCGCATTAAGAGCCCCCCCCCCCCCCCCCCCCCCCACACACACGATTTCTCGTCAGCACATGGCATAGGAGCGCAGCAACGATCGATTTATTCGCGAATCGCGTGAACCGTGCTGCTGGTCTGTTTGCCCATATTAGGCTTCTCTTCCAGCAGTTGTAGCCTATAGAATCTGCGCCAATGAGAACAATATGAAAGCAAAAGAAAAACAGTTTCGTATACACTAAATATACCAAACAGTTCGCGCGACAGCTAATGACCGTAGACGCAAACGCCGTCTTGCTGGAACAGCCATCGACAGACAACTCCGCGATTCCACGACGTGTGTCGCCAGCAATGCAGCTCAAACCCTCCCCACCTCCCCGAGCTGTAAGTCGAAAAACAGTTAGACCGGCAAGCTATGCCCTGTAGAAAACGAACGCCGAATGTTGCACGCAGAAAAGTCAAATATTTATATGCGCATAATTGCACCTAATTTTGTTAGGAAAATGAAAACATGGTGATAGTGAGAAAGCGACTGCACAGCAGACCGTATACATTGCACACTTCCTTGAATGGCGTTCGTAGCGAGTACGTCGGATGTCGGAGGCTTGAAAACATAAGTGTCGCTTCAGGTCCACCAGAGTTTAAAGCGCTTTGTAACTGCTTTTACTCCCGTATGCCTCAAACAGGTATGTAAATATGCTTGTGTGAGAAATGAATAAATATATAAATAAATAAACATTTCTTGTGCTTGCGATTTATCTGCTTATAAGGTTTTCTCTTTAAAAATGGCGCTAAAAAGTGATTTGTGGAATTACCTTGCTTAATGCTATGCATATCTCTCGCAAAGTAAATGTAGCAGTGGTCGGGCACGAGCACATACTCGGCTACAAATGGAGGAAAATGAAGTCGCAATGGCACTGCCAGCAGAGCAATCGCATATTTGGAAGTCACAGTAACCAAATGGAGATGCATACTACCGTCATTAAATGTGTACTTACACAGGCCTCGACTCATTCCATACACCCAATGTATCTTTTTTGATGAAGCAAGAACGATCGCACATTTCTTCATGGAGTGTGGAAGATATCAGAACCTATGGCAAAGATTTCTAAAACCACCTTTTCAAATAGGCGCCTTGAGCTTTCTACATCGGCATTGCTCTCCCTGGGGTCGTCGGCACTAGGGCATTGTGACAAAGCCTTTTACAAGGCTATAATTATATATTTAAAGGAAGCAAAGAAAATTCCATGTTGAACTTGTCTGGACATCTAAAAGAATATGTTTCATTTATCCTATCACCTTATTTCTACGATTCAATTAGTTCGTAACTTTAGGTAGCATTGCATTGAAAGACGCCAAAATTATCACAAATATTTGTTATTTGTTTAAATTACCTTTTTCGCTTACTTTTGCTTATTTTTCCTTTTTTTCGTGCTTTTTTATTATTTCTTATTTTGTTTTATTTTGTTTCAGAATTTCTACTGCGGCACGCCCCATGGCCAATCCCCCGTGGTAGGTAGGTAGTGGCATTCTTCTGGGAATCATCATAATCATCATCGGGTGTTGTGTCTCCATTTTTGTCGAATAGTGTGTACAGAGATCATCAGCCATGGTTGTGCTAGGAATCATTACAAATGCTCTTGCAAAGTCTCTGATAAACTTAAAACTATTCTATTTCCTGGTTATTTCTTTTTTCCCCTGTGTTTTGATGTCAGACCTCATACGCACACGAACGCATGGATGCAATGCACAGTGGGGCCGTGCGGAGACCATGAGACGTATTATGAGCCCGAATGTCCTGGCGAATAAAGTTTTGCCTCCTCCTCGAGTTTTGCCTACGGTATGGCATCTTCGTGTACATCGGTAGTGCCATTTAGTATACTAGATAAGGTTCGGCATGTCGTAAATCTTCAGAGAGGTAAAAAATGTTGTGGCTCGGGTGAGTTGGTAATCCATGAACTTAGCTTGTATTAGTGCTGACACAAGCTAAGTACTGCAGACAGTCGGGACGGACGTCATCAAAAAGGGAGTACTTGATCAAACCAACAGCCGCAGGGTGTGTGTGTGTGTGTGTGTGTGTGTGTGTGTGTGTGTGTGTGTGTGTGTGTGTGTGTGTGTGTGTGTGTGTGTGTGTGTGTGTGTGTGTGTGTGTGTGTGTGTGTGTGTGTG